AAAGTCCCCGCTCCTTCCTCTGCGGCCCCCGAGCTTCCTGGACGCCTCATTTACCGAAAGTCAGGGCGCCGTGGGGGCGGGGCGGGGTGGGAGACTAGAAACCTGTGAAGCTGGCTCCACCCTGCTGGGGTGACAAGGACAGGACCGGAAGGAAGGGGCGCTGCCGGGGACCTGGGTGGACAGAGGGGGCCCTTCCCATGCTGCGGTCCACGCGTGTCCTTGGAGCCACCTGGTTCTGTCCGGGCCAGAACTTGGTGCACCTAGCACGCCTTTCAGTCTTCAGTTTCCAGTCCACCCCAGCCTTTAACTGAGCAATGTTCAAAAACACAGGGGCAAACCCCAAAACCTCTGAGCCACCGAGCGCTAATGAGTTAAGAGGGGCCCTGTCCTGGGGACCCCACCCCCGCGCTGGGCGTGCTCACACTTCTGAAAAGCTTGCCTTCTCTTGAGGTCCTGCTCAAAAGCAGGGCTTGCGAGGCTGAGCACGTGCACCCAGCTCACAGGCTCAGGCTGGAGGTTTCCCCACCCCGGCCTCTGCTGACAGCCTCAGGGTCTTAGCAGGCTCCGGACCCACTGTGCCCGCACCCGGTGCCTCGGTTTACCCATCTGCTGCCAGTGCAGATGGGTGGGACTGGGGGTGAAGCGGGGGAGGGAACTGCGCTGCTCTGTGCAGAAGGAGCCGGTTCCCCTGAAGCACGCCAAGTTCTGTTCTCAGATGTCTCTCCATGAAGCTCCAGGCCAGAGCATCTGCAGCCCCCGAAACACCACGCAGAGAGGGCTAGGCAGCCTCTTGGGCGGCCAATATGGCTGGGAGAGGATTAAGTGAGGAAACAGACTTCAGGAATGGAGAGAGAGCAGGTGTGAGGCGGAAGATGAGGCAAAGGACTGGCAGAACAAACCAAGATGTGTCTGTCACACAGCTCACTGGTGGAGCCCCTACCTATAAAGCGCCCTGGGGACTGGGGGCGTGACTCAGGGGTGGAGCCCTGCCTAGAATACCCCAGTGAGGGTTTAGGGGCGTGGTCAGGGGTGGAGCCCCTGCCTAGAATTCCCCAGTGAGGGGCTGGGGGCGTGGTCTGGGTGGAGCTCCTGCCTAGAATTCCCCAGGGAGGGGCTGGGGGCGTGGCTCAGGGGGTGAAGCCCTGCCTAGAATTCCCCAATGAGGGGTTGGGGGCGTGGTCAGGGTGGAGCCCCTGCCTAGAATGCCCCAGTGAGGGCTGGGGCGTGGCTCAGGGGTGGAACCCCTCCCTAGAATGCCCCAGTGAGGATCTGGGGGCGAGGCTCAGGGTAGGGCACGTGATACGAAAGCATGAGGACCTGAGATTCCATCCCAGTTATCAAGTGAGAAAACTGGATGAATGCAGTGCTGCATGTGTGGAGACGGGGATGGTGGGGGTCTTGCTGGCCACCAGTATAGCTCCAGGCAGTGAGAGACCCTGTCTCAAGGGAAGAAGGTGGAGAGTGACACCACAGGGTAGAGGGCATCCCGCTCTGGCCTCCACACACTTATAGGATGTGAAGAAGACACTTGAGCTGCCATTGTTAGGCATAGTGGCACATGTGTGAACCCCAGCACTCAGGAGGCCAAAGATTGAGGCAACTGTGAGCCAAGCATGGTCCACACAGTAAGTTTCAGACCAGCTTAGAGTACATAGCCAAACCGTCTTAAAAATAAATGAAATAAATTTTAAAGAAAAGAACAGAAAAAGAACAATTGCATTCCCTTATAAAAACATATAAAAACTTCAAAGCACACAAAAGAGCTACATTTGTGAGAAGCAGGAAAGAAAATAAGGGAATTAAGATTTTTGAGCAACAAGGGAGCAATGGGGACCCTGCATGAGACTGCCAGCCCACCACTTCAGCCTGGAGTGACCTTACTTACTAGTGATACCTACCTAAAATTTAAAAATGAAGTCTGGTGGTGGCACACGCCTTTAATTCCAGCACTCCAAAGGCAGAGGCAGGCAGATCTCTGTGAGTTTGCCAGGCCAGCCTGGTCTACAGAGCCAGTGCCAGGACAGCCACAGCAACAACCAGAGAAACCCTGTCTTGAAAAACAATGAAACAAAACAAAACAAAACAAACAAGCAAAAAAAAGAATCGGAGGCCTTAGGATCCCCGAATTTCCAGGTTTGAACTCAAATGAGCTTATAAAACCATAAGACAAGTTTGTTCTGATCTCTCTTCTGTAGGTGGTGAAACTGAGGCATTAAGTATCAGGAGATATCCGGGTGTTGGTGGCTCACGCTTTTAATCCCAGCACTCGGGAGGCAGAGGCAGGCGGATCTCTGTGAGTTCGAGGCCAGCCTGGTCTCCAGAGAGAGTGCCAGGATAGGCTCCAAAGCTACACAGAGAAACCCTGTTTCGAACCCCCCCCAAAAAAGTATCAGGAGATAGTTTGGACTTGAGGATGGAACCTAGGACACTGTGCAAGCCATGCCACTGAGTCACATCCCCAGCCCCTCACTGGGGGATTCTAGGTAGGGTCCGACTGAGGTTAAGATCCCAATCACACTCTGTTCTGATGAACCTCGGAGTTGTGCTGTGACAGAGACTCAGTGAGCTCAACCCGGTGATGCATTGACTTTTGAAGGCCCAATAGGAAGAGCTTTGTATGTATGGAGGGCAGTAATAATAGCATGGAGGAAATCAGGACCCAAGCACACAAAGGGAAGGGTCTCAGGATGCAGGGAGTCAGCTCCGAGGCAGGTGTGGTGGCTGTAGGCCTGCAGTGCAGCAACTCAGGAAACTGAAGCAGGAAAGTCAGGAGGCTGAGCTCTCCAGGGCAGTTCACTGAGGACCTATGTGAAAACTGAAGTGGATTCTAGAATTTGAAGGTGACCAGAAAGACAAAGGGAGTCAGCGGGTGTGGGGTAGTGGGGGGCAGCTCATTATGAGGTATAACAAAGTAACTGCAGGGATAGGGGTGGCGCATGCCTTTAGTCCCAGCACTCGGGAGGCAGAGGCAGGCGGACCTCTGTGAGTTCGAGACCAGCCTGGTCTACGGAGCAAGTTCCATGACAGTTTCCAAAGCCACAGAGAAACCCTGTCTCAAAACAAACAAACAAAAAGCAAAGTAACAGAGGGGCTGGAGAGAAGGCTCAGCGGTTAAGCACACTGGCTGCTCTTGCTGAGGACCTGAGTTTGATTTCCAGCACCCACATGGTGGCTACAACCATCTGAGCTCCAGTCCTAGTGACCTGACACCCTCTTCTGGCCTCTTGTGTCGGGTGGCATACAGACACTCATTGTTGCTGGATACATTGTGAAACTACAGGATTGTGTTAATAAAATCCTTGGATCAGGATGGGGGGGCCAGTGACTCATTGACAGGAATTAGCCATAGAGAGGACAAAGGAGCCGGGAATATGGATATAGATGACACAGGAAGGAGTAGGGCTGCACTTAGAGGTTTGAGGTCTTTTTGGTTTGGGAGGAGTGGGAAGATACTTTTCTTGCTGGCTCCCCGGCCAAAAAGGAAGGTTAGCTGATTGCTTCCCAGTTTCCCTGAGCTAGAAGGTCATTATTGGTAAATAGAAACATAGAGACTTAGTTAAAACCTATGTTTGGCGGCTGTGGCCAAGTTGGGACTGGAAATCTCATCAGGCCTTGGTCTGAGCAGCAGGCTGCTGACAATAGTTAAAATATCAGTGGATTCAGATGCAGCCCCTAAATCGACAGAAACAATCTACACACATGAAATAAAAGTAAGTAAGTTTCTGCTGTTTGGTTTTTCATGGCAGGGTCTCACTAAGCAGCTCTGGCTGTCTGGAACTCACTCTGTAGACCTGGCTGGCTTTGAACTCACAGAGATCCACCTGCCTCTGCCTCCCGAGTGCTGGGATTAAACGGGTGAACTGCTTTGCCAGCCAAGAAATATAGTTCTTTAAAGTTACAAAATGGGCGGAGATACTTGCCAGTGGCAGAGCACTTGCCTTACATGCGGGAGGTCCTGAGTTCACGTGTGAGCACCAGCATGAAACAAAAACGAAACAAATACCATTCCGTGCTAGGAAATTAGGATGCCTTTCTGGGGCATTGGACTTTGGGGATTGACGAACAAATAGGAGTTTTGTTACCCGGGAGAGTGTAAGACAAGAGCTCAGGTTAGGTGGCTCAGAGAGGGAAACAGAAACGTGGAGACCCAGACAGGCGACGACAGGGAGAGACAGAGAGACTCTC